CTCCTGTTCCATTCTCTATATTTTTGCCATAAAGGTTAGTGCAGGTCCCCAAAGTCAATCCTCTATATTACTGGCAAAAATCCTTGGGGATCTTTGGGGAATGAGTTTTCTATAAGAATGTAAATTAATTTATTAACTAGAATGCTATGGATTGCCTTAGAGGGCCTCAGCATGGGAATGGCGGCAGAGTTTCAAAGGATTATGATTCTGCTCTGCTTATAAAAGCCTCCCAAAATGCTCGGGGGAGCAAGTTGAGTCCTCTCTCCTCCACAGATGCTAACAGAATTCCTTCCCAAGGAGTTGTTGGGGGTCTTCTGGACCAGCTGAACAACAGAAGGATGTAGGCAGCAGCCTGCCCTAATCCCCGAGCCCTGAGCTCTTTGAGAAGACAGAAACCCAGGAGGTACCCATGATCTCCTGGCCACAACCTCAGAAAGACAGACACTCCTTATTTTCAGGATCTCCCAGGTTAACAGCATCTTTTCTGAGCCTTCTGTGTGATGTGACTTGACTTCTTCAGGACAACTGGTGCACACAATAAGATCCATCTGTCTTTCTGTCTACAGCCCTCTTGCCATCGTGGAACACAGGCCCGGCTTCTTGCCAAACAGCCTGCCTTTATCTTGGCGAGGGGGCCGTTTGGAGACAGGCACTGGCCAGCCTGGCTAGACATGTCTTTTTTTCCATCAGATCAGAAGAAGGTGGTAGGCAGGAGCCTCTGCGCCTCGCAGGCGCTGGCTCAGCTGCCGCCTCACACAATATCCAGCCCGGCTGCATCTCTGCTGCGAGAGCGGGGCTGTGTGAACCCGGGAGGGCAACTGTGAATGGCTCAGCATCTGACATGAATTTATCACCGGCTGCTGGGTGGGTGGAGGAGAAAGCAAGGGTAAGGGGCTGTGGGCGTTTAATGCACCCTGCCACAACCCAACAGTTTGCCCTAAAGAGCCTTTTCGTGATATAAAAGGACAGGGTCAAAAGTAAGTTGACCCCTGACAGAATGTACAATTATTAGGAGAGGACTGTGCACGAGCAGCTGCTGGAACCCCACTGGCTCCGCATCGGGCTTCCAAGAGTCAGAATATGAATAATCAACTCAAGATGGTTTCCTCCACCCCTCTCAACCCCCATCACCTCCCCCTAGCCTTCTCCTCCCTTTTGGGGCAAGTCCTATTATATTCCTACAGGAAGAAGCATAGCCCTCCCTAGCAGCTGCAATAATTGTGTTCCTATTGTGATGAAGGCCTCCTCCTGGCCACCCCCCTACAAGTGGCCATTGTGAGTGGAGAGTCAGTGATTATACGCTCCGCCTGATGCTTTGGGGGGACCCAGCTGCCTGAGTGCTGACACACGAGTGTGCGGAAGGCCAGGGCGGGGCGGGGTAGGGGGCTGGTAGAGGTGGAGGCAAGTGGTCGGGGGATCCCGCGTCTGTGAGACGGGACCCTGACACACCAGACCTTTTTCATAAGTCAAGCCCAGAACAAATGAGGCTTTATCAGGCCCCAGTGATGAGCAGTCTCATCTCCCTTTGAAGTGGATCTGAGCATGGGGTCTAGCAGCCTTTCCTCCTTTGGACCAAGCAAACATCCTTCTTTTGATATGCTACATGCTCATTATCTCTGCCCCATTTAATGATTTTTGATTGAAGGGTGGCGGCTGGGATGCCGAGAAGATCGTTAGAGAGGCTCCATCCAGCCAAGCCTGCAAGAAAGGCTCTCCTTGTGCCTGGGCCTAAATTTGGAATTTCTTAACAGTGTGCGCTTGTTCTTAGAGGCAGATAAGGGCTGAGCGTGAAATTCTTAATTAAGCAATAAATAGAGAGTGGGGTGTCAGCAGATGTAGCCAGTAGCCATGGCAACGGGAATCACATGGGCAAGAGAGCTGAGACTAGATGTAGGCCTCAGGCCTGGGCCTGACTGACAGCTGAAGAATCCTACAAAGCTTGTAAACCAGATTAATTAGCTGACTAATTATTTCATAGCGTTAATGTAACTAAAAAATAAAAATAGTTAACCATGAACTGAAACATCCCTGGAAAAACAGCAGGGAAAGAGGCAGTGGGGAACTGGCTCTGGAAGGCAGAGACGGGAGCTGCTAGTTCATCAAATCGCGTAAACAGAAAAAATGGGCTTGCTGGATTTGACTCTGACTCTGAAAATATAAAAGAACGCTTATCCTGCAGTCTTCCCCATTCCCAAGCATGTCATAGAAGTTACAGTTTGGAACCATTTGGCACCATTTCTCACATCAAACGTTGCTCCTCATGGTCCTACCACAAACTATAGAACACGAGTATTTTGCTATGGTCTGTTCCACAAGTGGCTTATTAGGCAAAATTCTCAGGGGCTTTAGAAAGGCAACCTTAACCAATCTTCTTAAAAGATATGTTTAAATGAGCTATGTTATCTTATTCTATGGGTAACAATTGCTTAAGTGGTATTAAATTTTGAACACGAAAACAATATATCATATATGTCATGTTATCATGAATCTCAGTTTTCTTATAAAATCTAGTCAAGGAAAATGGAATGAGACCATTTCAGAAAGGTCATGACATGTACGCTAAGTTCAAGGTATGTGGCATTGCTAATCTTCTAGGAAAAAAAAAAATCTAGAGAAATAATCTACTGAGAAAATGTGTAGTAAAGTAACAGGGTATACTAATCACATTTGAAGATATCTGGGTGTTTTGTACACAATTCCAAGAGATAAGTAGATATTCTTAACCTCGTCGTATACTTGAAGCCACTGAGACATGGAGCATTTATAATTGTGCGCCCCAGGTGAAATAGCCAGCCACTGATTAAAGCCCTAAACCGTAAGCTCTGGCCATGAGCTTTCGAAAGAACCTACATTCCATAAAGACACATTTGCTAAAGAAAGACAAAACTTGCTTTCACAGAGAAGAGCAATACTCTCAACATGTATTATGTGTGCAGGACTTTTTGTTTTTTTGGCACTGGGGATCAATGAGAAGTTTTCTCCCACAACCCTGCCTAGCACTCCCCACCCTATTTGGTCAGTGATCAATGATTATTTAGTAGGCAGCACACTCTAGTGGGGAGAGCTATAGCCAGGAGCTAGAATGCCTGGGTTCTGATTTTTTTCTTTTCTCAACCGAGTCTAAGATGAGTCAGGTATCTTCACAATCACACACAAAGCAGCCAAATGGAGGAAACAGAGATAATTGTGATTTTTTTTTAACTTCCTATCCTGAGGGATGTGTGGTAAGGTTGCAAACAAACAATACAAAAGATGGTCCGCTTAGAAGTGGTCAACAAATTAATGAAACACAGCCAGCTGTCAGTGAAGCAGCACTCTGAACGCAAAGCTAGCCAGGAAAAGGAGCATGGTCTCTCCATCCCCCACCCCTGGCAGGAAATTCAATGGACCTGAAAGAGGTCAAGCAGTTTCACTATGATAAAATGAAACTTCTGTATAAACCACGCTCCCCATATAATTTTTTTTAAATATCAGGAATATATCCACATAAACTGTGAGGTCTTGACTTATGTTCTCCTCTTAGACGAAATATATTTTATGTAAATTATCCCAGTCACATGGTCCAAAAAAACAATTAGGACCCAGACCTATAAAGTCACGTGGTCCAAAAAAAACAATTAAACGGAAGTGACAAACTAATTGGCAAAGAGCCAGAACACTATTGCTCGGGGTCTTGGTGAGGTACCAGCAGCAACTACCTCACTGCCATCATGGCCTTATTAGCTTTCCAGCAATAATGCAAACTTTACGGAAAGGATATCCAAAATCATAACCAAACCCACCCAATCCAACACAGCTGCACAGGACACCACCACCGAGGAGCAGAACAAGACTCAGTTCCCCCTGAATCCTCACATCCTCACTGGACCGCCCAGAAATGAGAACAGAAGTAGCACCAGCCACCTACCCACCCATTCACTCAGAGGATACAGGTGGCACAAATGACCACAGAAACCACTGCATAGAGCACTGGGGATCCTCCTAAGGACCTACAGTCTCCATGTTTATTAATCAACCAACTAACCCTCTGTGATTTCCTGTCCCTTTTCCAACTCCTATCATTTAAAGGTGGAGACCCTAGGTTATTCTGATACAAAGAATTTTGTTAATTAATAAAGGCTATCTACCTAATAAAAATGTTTTAAATGAAAAATGCATCTATATCATATATACGCTCATATATGCACACAGCTGTACATCTATATATAAATATGCATACTTACACAGATGTGCACTTAAACCATATATGTGAATAAACAGCTTAATAGTACAACTTGCCATTAATTCAATAAATAAGGATAGCAAAGGAGAAGAAGATCTGTAGTTGCATGACTTGATTTTCTTTATGCCACAAATATTCCTTTACCACATTTGGTTTATGTGGCCATTTAAAGTTTGCAGTTCATGAACAAAATCTGACCAATAGACAAGACAGACTCTTCACAAGCATGCTAAGAAATAGAAAAAACAATTTGAAATTAAAATTCTCTTCCAGAATATATATCAAGTGAACCTTGTCACAGTTAAAGTTTATGTCACCTATTTGCTCTTACTTAATGGCTGCATTCAGCTTTAGTGGTAAAACAGTCTCAGGGATCTCTGTCCATCCTGAATTTTTATAGTTTATGGTTGATCAAATCAGAAATAAAATTTGAATGGTACAATTCAGTGCAAATAAAATATACAACAATCCATTCGGCAAAGACTTAAAATACCAGAGAATTAACCATACTCCCCTCTCTGGTGCTATTAAAATTTAATAGTCCCTGAGCTCAAGTGTAGATCAGACTCTGTGGATATATGGCTAGGCACAAGGAGAAGGGACACGGAACTCAGGACAACTGCCCAAGCTGTCAGATTTCAGAGTCCAATCATTTCACTGCAACACACGGCTCTCCCCTCCAGTTCCTCATAACTTCATACCACAAACGTTTAGAATTGGAGAGTGAATGGTGGTTTCCCACTGTGTGCCCTCAAAATTCTCATCCAGTTATACTTACCCAGATAGGTGAGTTGCCTCAACTGGGTATTGAAGAACCAGTCACAACCTTGGTCCTGACCAGGTGATGGCAGAGATGGAAGGGACTGCCCTACCCGACTCCCACACCTTATGAGGATGTCAGGGTAAGGCCACGAGACTGTGTGCACGAGCAGGAGGTAATTCCCAGGCGCAAAGTTGCCAAACGTTGCTGAGTACTTTAAGTGAGAGAACAATACAATAATGCTCATTTAATAAGGAAGGCTTTCCCCAGAAAATAGATACAAAGAAAGCAAGTGGAGTAGGTTAGAAACACAGCAGTTCACACCCAGACTACTCTTCTTGCAGAAAATAGGCTTATTTAAATCCACTCCATAATAAATTCATAACCAGAGCTACAGAATCTTAGAACATGAGGACAGAAAGACTCTATAAGTTTCTCTTGTTTAACAACCTCAACTAACAGAGAAGAAAAACAAGACAAGTGAATTGACTTGTCCCAGGTCAAACTGCCGTGAGATACAGAGCCAGATCTAGAATTCTTTTCCACTTTTTCCCATCACCTAAAGAGGCAGGCAATGATAGTAGGGCCATCCATTTATAATAGTAATAAGCTAGCACTGTTGGAGCATTTGCTACATGCTCAAGTTCTATTCATACCAAAACATCCAATCTTTCAACAACTCCCTGTGTTACTATTACTGCCCCATTTTACAGATGAGGACACTGAGGCAGACAGAGGTTCAGTAACTTGCCCCACACCACAAAGCAGGGGAGTACTGCACCAGGATAGACACAAGGGTATTCACCTCCCGAGTCATCATTCTGCTGCCTTCACCTCATGAAAATTCTCCAAGATGTTCTCCTGGGAACCTCAAGGGAAGGAAATAGCTGTCCTTTCTGAGAAGGTAGGGGAAGGGTGGGAAGGGTTGCTAGAGAGAGGATCAAAGGAGATTCTGCCTTAAACTATGTCCCAAGTCAGACCTGATCTCATGACCCTAAGAATGTATATGAGGAGACAGGAAGAAAGAAATGCATTAAAAGGAAGAAGATGAGCATAAAGAAATCCATTGGATTATCTTTTTTTCATAAAAATGCACCCACTTTCCACATGGCTATTCCTATCTTGGATGCCCCTAACCATTTGACTCTTTCAACCAACCCCAATGAAGGTCCAGACCTTCATGTGCAAGTTAATCTTTGACCACAAGGTGGCAGTATGCAATGTAAAAATGTTTTGTTAAGACATTTTCTCGGGCTACAAACACTTCTCCCTGGAGAAAATTGGTTCTCCAGGAGGAAATTGGTTCTTCTCCCTGGAGAAGATTGGTTCTTAATCCCTAATATTATAATAATATAATTCTATAGGAGGCTTAGCAGATGTTTTTCATTGTATTAATAAAGTTAAAATTTCAGGTATAACCATTCTGTTATTCAAAGTAAGATTCAAACAGACTCAGAAATTTTCAAGTTTAAAAAATAAAATAAACAATAACCACCATATCTTATACTCAGATTACATTCACTAGGCCAAAATGCTGTGGTGGTTTTAGTTATCAGTACCAGAAGATGCTAATACCTGCAAACTGCTATTTCATAGAAAAAAAAGATAAGAATCCCTGGGAAATGGTCCATACCAGTAAATGAATTCCTGGGGTTACCTGCAGAGATCTGTTGATCCAAGGGTTCTCAAACTGCACTGAGTAAGTCTCTTGATCCAAGAGCAGAGCCATCCAGCCATAAGGGTTAGACAATGTGTCACGTACATAATTGACTATGGTTGTCTTATTTCTGCTGTCAGTCATTATTAAATCATAAGGAACATCTGGAGCATTAGCTCTAGGGTAGTTTAAAAAGAAAAAAAATGAGTTGTGAGTTATTTGTCCATTCTGGATCTAATCCACTCCTCTCCCATCAGTGGTAATTCATCTTCTATTCTTCCCATGTGTGTCTTGAGCTATCTTGTCTGTGTATCCATGGAACTTTTAGTAAGCACTCTGTGGGTCAAAATAGCCCAGTGGGAAGACATCATTAGTGCATTCCACTGGTCTAGTGGATTGAAGGTAGTAATACTCAGATATGAGTCCACTAATAAATGCCATCTTAATGACTTCATATAGCCAAGAATATATAATAGCATTTTCATAAAGAATTGTCCCTGGGCTGATTTTTGCCCTAGACCAATTTTATCAGCATCAGAAAACATATCATATAGTTATTAAATATTTTTATTGGGGCAATGACTCAGACCCAGAACTTAACGTGCCTAGACTCTCAGAAGCCCACCTCCAACCACCTGGTAAAAATGGCTTCAGTAGCCTTCCAATCACCTTCCCCAGAAAGAAGAGATGACCTGGCTCCTCTCCTGCGTGCCTGCTCAATTCCCAGTGCTTACTCCCACCTAGTGCTGGATTTTTTTGTTTATTAACATAGACTGTGAGATCTTGAAGTTAGAGATATTTTCTCCTTTTTAGTATCCTCTACCCTGGCACAGGGCCGACACCTATGGGCACTCAAATGATGTTTATTACATGAAAGAAGAGTGAATGGATGAACTCTCTCCAAAACAGCTGGTGCCAACTTCCTAATTTATATAAAGCATTTCTAGAAGTGCATTTTAGCAAATGAGGAAATTGAGGCAGAGTACAGCAAAATTATTATGAATGTCACAAGGTAGAACTAGAAATTTATTAATTTCTACAAATTATACAGAAAGTGATTTTTAAGACTTCACTAGAACATAAAAAGATTTAGCCACATGCTAAGACCCTAAAAGAAAGTCAAAGTGGACAGAAAATAAGAGGCAAAAGTTAAAAAAAAAAATCAATACACATTATGACTGTCCTTCCCCCTTCGGTTTGATTTTCATGAGAATCTTCAACTGTGGCATTTTGCTGCAGGCAGATAACTAAATTCTCAAACTGGAGGGAAATGAGACAAAGGAGGATGTTGGGTTTTCAAAGTAAGGTGTGGCCCGAGCATATCCAAAGCCAATTTACAATCCAGTGCATTTTATAGAAAGAAAACTGTTTTTAGTGTTAAATACTTGGGTACTATGGTCAAATGGGTATAAATTGGGAATCTATATTTGCATACACTAGATAGATGAATTTGGGCAAATTACTGACCCTCTTTAGGATTTAGTTTGCTTTTTCTAAAATGGAGGCAACAACAGTATGTATCTTTGATATATATCTACTGTGAAACTTAGAGATAATATATGTATTCAGTCATCACCACTAAGCCCAGTAATATCTACTCACAGCTCATTTAAAAAAAGAACCTCATATGTGCCAGATTTGCCATTCTGTATTATTTATTTTAATGTTTAGCAATGTATCCACGGTATTTGGTCATTTAAAAACACACTCAAAACTTTTCATGGTATAGATCCTTGGCCCAGGAAATGCAGTATTTTATACATACTTCTTGTAAGAATAAATGTGTTTCTTTCATTCATTAATTAATAAAATGAAAGGAATTTTAAAATGCTCAGAAATTTGAGGGAGAAAGAAAACTACTCTTTCCCCAGATTTCCCTATGCAGCATTAACTGAACCTTTAGTAGAAGTTTTGGAGGGGGATTTTCTGTCCTTGGGCATGGGATATTTAGCATTTTTCATATGTATACGAGGATTCAGACTGGAACTAAAGAACAATCCTAAACTCGTATTTTTAGAATGGACATAAAGGCCATCTATCCTAACTTCCAATCCATTGCAAAAATTCCCTCCAAATTTCTGCCTGTCCCTTCCACTAGTTATGAGACATTCATATCCTCCCATAGAAGATCATTACATTTATGGAGTTTACTTGTAGATTTTAATCTTTAGGCAATCTTTAGAAAGCTAACTTTTCTACCTTGTATTTTCTAGCCATTTGTCCTCAGTCGTCATGACTCTCTATGCCTCCAATTAAAACCGTGCATCCCAGAGTCCCAGGAGATGATCCAGCACAATGTGGCCCAACCAATGCATTTTAAAGAGTCTTATGAGAAATAAATGTAAAACAAATATGTTAAGAAGAGATAAAGTTGGAACCAAGAAATACCAAAGAGGTAGAGAGGTTGGCTGCAGCAGGTATAGTGATCAGTATGTAAAGTGGGATTCCTCACAGTCCACAGAATGATTCTGAGTATTTGAGATTCTGCAAGTATCATGGTTTCACGAGTTCAAACCCTGCATCTGGCTCTATGCTGGTAGCATACAGCCTGCCTTGGATTCTCTGTCTCCCTCTCCCTCTGCCACTCCCTCATTCACTCTGTCTCCGTCTCTCTCAAAATAAATAAATAAACTTTTTTAACCAATCAATTGGGGGGTGCCTGGGTGGCTCAGTCGGTTGAGCGTCCGACTTTGGCTCAGGTCATGATCTCACTGCTCTTGAGTTTAAATCCTGTGCTAACAGCTGGGAGCCTGGAGCCTGCTTCAGATTGTGTCTCCATCTCTCTGTACCTCCCCTGCTCTCTCTTTCTCAAATTTAAAATTTAAAAAAACATTAAAAATTCTAAAAATTAAAAGAAAAATCAACAGGGTAGATATTTCCACAAATGCTTCTTAATTTCAGTGATGTGGCCCCAAGAATCTTCCTGATAATTTTGACTAGAATTAATTCTCAACTTTCTAACAGTATCACATTTATAAATCAATATTTAGGGTACAATTTCTCCTGGTTCTATTGTTTGTAACTCCAATTATTGAAGGAGTCATTTTTTAGACCATACTCTCCATTTTCCAAAAGCTCTTATAAACATGACCTCCTCCTCAAATATTGTAAACCCACTACATACTAACATTAATTCAGTTATGTTTGTCTCTGGGACAGTTGTACCTTCCTTCTGATGCCCTTGTCCTTCTAGGCAGCATCCAATAATCTTATGCTAACTGTCTGATCAACCAGAGACCCATCATAGCACATTGTGATACTAAATTATCCTTTCCTCTTCCTTCTTCATGCATTGCCCTGACTCTCCCATGCCATTCCATCCATCTCAACTAAAGCTTACGTGGGATGCAGTTTTACAGGTACTCATGGGCAGCACCATCTTCGTGTAATTCAATCCATGTAGAGAAGGAGGTTATCAAATATACCTTTATTACAACTGGTAGTGGAAATGGTGCATTCCGAAAACAAATTTAAAATGTCAAACACCCATCTCCCCATAGGCAAGATGCCTTGTGTTGACCATCACTGGGGGCCAAAACTCCAAAGTCAAATCAGCTCCTATCCTTCTAGGCCAAATGCCAGAAGTGACAATGGTGGGCTCTTCTGAAAAGCACCAAAAGAACATCAAGACTCGAAGAACACCATGAAGAGAATTTACCAACCATAATGACTACAATTTTCACTTGCCCTAAATAGCCACCAATTTCCCTGTGCCCTAAATAGCCACCAATCTCCCTCTCTTTACTGTTAATGAAGCAAAGGAGCACAAAAGTATTTCTAATTTGGAGGAGCCAAGGGAGTCTGCATGGGCCATTAGCAGCAGAGAGCTTCATTACTAGGGGAAGAAGTCTCTCCCTGAACTTCTCATGGCTTTATGTGCAAGAAATCAGGAGGCAACCAGTCCATTTTAAATGTTAACCCTTACCTCTGCATCAGCAACAGCTCTGGGTATAATCAAAAAGACAAAAGAACTACAAACCATTCCTTTCCTTTTC